TTATTGTCATTAGTGATTATCTCAATTTCGGCTAAAAGAATTGACAAAACCCTACACACTGTGCCTTTAAGTGCTGTAACAAAGTAAACACACTTTTTATTTTTACTATACACTTCTGTGAGTGATAAGAATTATCTGAACTGGACTAAACTGAAACGGACGTAAGCCAACTTTGTTATCAAATTAATTTGAACATGTTTCATAATTTATGTTTAAACCATGAATTCCATTCCATGTTTGTTATAGAAACTAATCTTAAGAAAAAAAGTCATAACTTAAATGATTACTTTACACCTAACTCAAATAAAGACAGTACGTGCAGCAGCTTATTCTACTTATAGCTTTGATGGTTTCAGCAAAATCACGTTCTAACAGCTAACTTCATTTGTGTTTTTTCATTTTGGAGTTAGCTGTCAGCAGAAGGTTGAAGACTCTGTAATCTTAGATCACATTCATGATGTCATGTTACATTACATAAGTTTTGTTTCCTGCTGCACAGACATTCAGCCTAATTATAAAAATTCCTTTTGTGTATTGTTTTTCYAAGGCATTGACCCAGTTCAGTGTTTCCTCGATCCCACAAATTAAGCATTCACTGTTTGCGACTAATGTCTGATTGTAAACAACTTGATAAAATGAAAAGATGGACTGCCATTGCTTTCAGAAACAGAACGACGGCTACAGAATTTGTTTTTACGCTTCAGCCTTGCCTGTGGAGAAAACTGGAAGATTAATAACAAGTAATAAAGACTGATAATCATGTTTRTCAGCACACCAGTTTTCATGACATTCATAAGAAACTGGTGAACGATTTGCGAACAATTGCATAATCTAAGTAAGAAAGATGGGATTTCATGAACTGAACTCTGAATCTTATTTGTGCAAAAAAAAAAGGTTCAAATGGATTTGCTCAAAACGTTTATTTCGTTAACATCACTATGCCAAATTTAAAATATCTGCTTGTTATTGTCTTTAAAGCAAACACCAAAGTCAGTCCATTTTTGTCATGATATCTTTATTTAAAGTTCAACATGTTTTTTTTATAATCCATGTATTTTCTTTCCTGATAAAAACTGCCTTTGGAACGATGAGCCTTTCACCAAAACAAGGAAGCTAGGTGTACCTGCTTTGACAAAACACCTGTAAGGATAGGAAGTCAAAATAAGGAAACTTAGTGGGAAACATTCCTGACAGATGATCTTCAGTCCCACATGGAGTATAAAAATGTCAACAATCAAGGCAGAATGAACAATTAGTACTACTTAATGAAAACTATGATTCAGAGTGAAACAACAGTTGAAACCAGGCAACCTGCCAGGAGGTCTCTATCATTTTTAAACATCGGTGATGCTGGTTCATTACTAATTTTTTAACAGACAGGCAGCAGGAAATAATTACAAGAAATATGACTGTTTTCTTAAAAACCTTTTAAAGCAAATGACCAATTTCAAAATGATATTACCAACAAGTAAATAACTTGTAACAACTGTGGCACCAAAACAAATRAATATACTAAGATTAAGAAACAGGCATTTCAATACTTAAACTGGAATAATTCCTGGAGTAACTATGAAAGGGCTTGCCTCTTGGTGCGGRATTATTTTCAACGTAGTCTTGGGGGATTTTTCTTGGCTACCACCAAACCAAATTGCATGGCTWTGGCTAAAAATGTTGGAGTTCTGGTCAATTTTACACTGTAGCTATGGTGGCCATGTTAGATTTTCGATTTGGATTCAGTWTRTGATGAGAATCATTCTCAGCTAACAYCACACCAAATTRCAGCCCRATATGTTTTAAAATGGTCAAGTTATTGCMGTTTCAAATTAGCTCTGGTGGCCATCTTGAATTTTAACGGAGTGTTCTTGGCTGCTACCAGTGGTGGGCACAGTTCCCCTAAAGCACGAAYAGGGGAACTAAATTCCTGATTAGTGCTTTAGGGCTTTTTRAAAATTAATTAGTGGATTAGCACTTGCTAATTTTATGCACTAAATTTAGAAGCACTAACTGAGGTCTTTAAATGTTATTGMTCAATGTTAATGTTAACAGCTGAGGGTGAAAGCTGTAACACATTTTGTTCATATGTGTCACTTATCCACTAGGTGACATATTGATATTGATTATTGACAATATTCTGCAAATAGTAAATACTGTCTCATGTTAACTCTGAAGAATGTTCCATGGGTCACYTGGGTTATATTAGTGCTTTAGAATTAGCTTTTGTTAAATTTTTCTATGCATTAGTGCTTTAGTATTAGAGGACCTAAATGTTTGAMTTAGTGCTTTAGAGTTAGTGCAACTAATTTTTAAACTAGTGCTGCCCACCACTGGCTGCTACTATACCACTTTTCAGCTTTGTTTTGCAATTTATGCTGCTATAATAACTTAAAAACACAAATAAGTAATCRCACACTTCGCAGGACCAAGCCAGTCATTTTGATATAACATTGGTGTGGGTACACTTTGTTGTTCGAGCCACATTAAAGTTAACAGAAAAAAAAAATAGAGATCCCTTTTGGTGGATAACAATAGGTGCCGACATTCAAATGAATGGAGGTGAAGGAATGCACTSAATTGGTAAGGCCCAATAAATAAAAGTGGTTCAGAGGTTTTTCCAATATATTTTGATAATCCTCATGTTCTGAGTCACTAAATGTTTTGTTTTGTTTCCCCTGCACCTAAATGTTAACCTATGATTTTCTAACTAYGTTTTGTTTTGTTAACAGAGTGGTTTGTATTATTACTGATCATAAAAATGTCCTGCAAACAAAATAAGTAAAGCCCTAATAAAATGGCAGACCGAGCTTTTTTTTTTTCTTTTAGCAATTTATGAAATTCAGTGCAAATATTAGTCAGGGAGTTTATACCGCTCCATTAAAAGCCCAGCATGCTACTATAGTTACAATCTAATCAGCAATTTCAAAGATTCAATACTAAATATTCACTACACATCCTCAAATAAAAAAATCATATAAGTATATAATAAGATATACACACCTTTTGTGTTCAAGTGTTTTTAAAAGTGATGCTTCTAGGTCAATTTGGTAGAGAGTCTCCTTCTCCTCATCTTCAAAGCAGAGCTAAAAAAGACAAAACATGAATTGTGAACTACTTCAACAAGTACAAATAAAGATTATCTTCAAACTTTTAACGTTCGTCTCCTGCTGACACAACTTACAGTCTGCACACACTTGTGTTTCAGTGCATTAGCAATATTCCCTTTATTTCACCTGATGGCTTTATACACAAAACAATTAACTGTATTGATTTTTGCTGTATTTGAAACGTCCAAACCTGCAGATTTTGGGGGTGATATTTTCTGTCTGAGTCCCAAGGTGGAAGTTCTTCTCCAAACATGACATTCAGGTGGTCCCTGAAACTAATAAAATAAATAAAAAATTAATGAATGAATAAATAAATTAAATAAATAAATAAATAAATAAATAAAGTGGAACTCAGTCAAACACCAAGAAAGAATTGCTTTGTGCATTCAGCTAAACTGTGCCCCCATGTGGTCAGATATAGATCTGTTCTTGTGATAAAGCTTGTCTGCGTTTGACTTCAAATTAACAGAGGGTAAAAACATAGATCCAAAAAAATATTACATTTTTAAATTTTTATTATTTACCAGTTATTTTCGCAGAAGGCTGAGATAAAATCACTCTGCTGATGTTCAGGGTAGAGAAAGAGAACAGGCCAATGCAGGACGCCCTGCTCGTCCAGGAACACCTGAGCCCCTGTGACCTCCTGAGAGCTCAGGCCATCCAGACTCAGCTGAGCTACTGCTGCTGCTGAAGAGCGCTCATCCTCATCCTCACTGTATGAACCCTGCGGCCGAGGCCTCACAGGCTGGAAAAGTTTGATGCCTCGATCCTGTGCAGAGAGCCCACAAATATCACCGATAATTATAAAAGGAGCAATTTTATCTGATCGTTGTGAATTAGAATGAGTTGAGACATCTGAAAGTTTCAAGAAACTCAAGAGTTTTGTTCCCCAGGTTCTTAGTCACCCAAGACATGATAATTCTAGTAGGTTTAAACAAACTGGACTTCCTCTTTTAAATAAAAAAGGGGTCCAGTCCCTTTTGTTTAAACCTATGACGATGAAATTTTAAGGTTAAACATAAGCTAGTGGATCCGATGTGAACCTTTATAGCAGCCAGAAGAGCCTCTTTCTCTCCGTGCAACTTCTTCTCTTTAGCCCTGGCTTTCCTGGAATCTCTCTCTGCTGCTCTCTAAGACACCAGAAACAAAAACAACTTTAATGTGATGGATGCTCACTTCAAATCCTTCATAGACAGCATTAAAACAAGGAAAAACTAAACTAAACTAAACAAAATAAAACTGATTCTCCTTGCAAACCTTGTGTTTATCTGCTGCTGCCCTCAGCTCTCGCAGCTTCTCGTCAGTRGGATGAATCTTTAGCCCCTCGTCACACCACTGGACTGCTTCTGCAAAGTTACGCAGCTCTATGGAGCACTGAGCACCTGCAGAACCAAATATGGGTGAAAATATCTTTGTTTAATAGCACTTCTCATTTTCTTTGTAAACATTTCTTATTTCTTTACATGAATCGTGCATTATAAGTTTCCAGGTTCCAGACCTCTGATCAAGGCTTTGAGGTGGTCTGGTTTGAGCTTTTTTGCAGCTGCAGCATCGTTCAGTGCAGAGCGCATGTTACCTGCATAAAAAAAAAAAAATAAAACATAAAACATACTCTGAATGAAGAAATCCGACAAAACCAAATAGTAGATGTATCTCACATAGGGCTGCAACAACGAATCGATAAAAATCGATTATTAAAAGCGTTGGCAACGAATTTCATTATCGATTCGTTGTGTCGCGCTATTTATGCGTCCCTCGTCATGTCGCGGAGCCGATCACGTCACCCGCAGAGTGTTGTCAATGCTGGCTGACCTAAATAAAGTTTAGGAAGAAAAAAAAACTCTACCTGTAAAGATCCGCCCTCTCTGACTCTCGAGTGAAAAGTAGAGACTACGAACTTTAAACCAGTTTTTTAGGCCAAGTAGATCCGAAGATAGGATAAAAAGTATATGACACATAGACGGTCTAATGCGAGCCGCGTCGCAAGGAGGAAATGCGCGCGGGGGGGGGGGCACATAAATCCACTGTTTGTTTCGTCCTCCTCTCGGGCCAAAAGTATAAAAACCCTCCAGTTTTTTCTGACTGAGGCTCAAAGTTATTTGTTGAGCAGCAAAAAGATTTCGGACGAAGGAA